CTCCCATCCGCTGTACGAACGGTAGGTGCAATCGCAGGCGTCTGAACTTTTTGGAGGCGGCGGCGCAGGTCAGAGCTCATCACAGATATTTGTGCACCGGTATCACTATGAGCGGTTACAGGTAAACCATCAACGAGAATTGTAAGAAGGTTGCACCGCTGGTCGGGAGTAAGGTTGCACCGCTGGTCGGGAGTCGGGAGGATTTGCAGTCCGAGTAGTGTATGCAGCGTCACCTCCAGGGGCTGCACCGGCTAGTTTTCCGAGCGATGGTCGTAGGGAGACCGAGAACGGCGGGGTTGGGGCGAGTGGGACTGACGACACACGGGCGATGGCGAGCGCGTTGTCCGACGTTCTGGATTATGCTCTGCACCTGTCTCAGCACGGTAGGACGGGGCATAAGGTGCACGTTCAGAGTGAGGTCCCCAATCATAGAAGCTCGGTCAAGGTGATGAGGTTCAACGGCTGCGGCAATGGCGAGCGATGTGTCCTATCTGATGGCACGTGAAACATATGGGCCGATCATCATGAGTGCGCCCAGCACCTCCGTCAATGATGTTACGGGGAATAAAGTATACACGATGGATATACTGGCGAGAAAATGCGTACAATGCTGCTGCAGTCCGAGCACGTTCTCCTCAGCACTTCGTCGTCGTCATCCTCAGGCATCTACTTAGCCCGTGACAATATCGTATAGTAACAGCGCGAAAGACGAGGCGCAAACGCAACAGACTAAGCGCTTCCATAAAATATTTTCAATCTAACTAGTTGACAAGTTTACCTTTGAGAGTAATGTTTCCGACATGCGAGAAACGACAGGTGCTCGTGCTACAGGCAAGCGTAAACCGGGATGCATACGCCATTGCTCTAACTATTTTGTGCCTTATTTCGAATATTACTGCTTATTGCAATAGAAAAGACGCACTTGCATTTGACACGTGTTGGAGCGTGGTCTTGAAACCCAGTTAGATTGCTGGAGTTAAAATGCACATGTTACAATATAGTAATAAGCGAGCAGCGTGATAAATTGGTCGGTGCTGTAGTTCAGCTCCGTTCTTTCCACACATATACTTGGGCTTCGCGAGTTCTTGAGGTACCGCGTGCCAGCTCAGCAAGTGATATCTTGGCACTTCTTGGCAGTCTTGGCAGTGTATATCTTGGCAGTCAGAGGTGCTATATAGTATTTAAAACAGTGTTGCGCGGCTTTGCTTGCACGCACAGAAGCTGCTGCTCAGGGGCTAATGCAGTGCAGATGGAGCAATAGACCCCTTGCGAAAACGATGGCAACACTGGGAGGCGGCGTCTATGGTAAAGGAAGAAACGACTACAAAAAGCATGCGCCTGCCGGGCTCCGTTCTTTTCTATTCCGCCTTCGTTAAGGCCGCGGCGTCCCACGCGTTTCTACGCTGAAGTTGTAGCTGCGGTTGCAGGAGCGCTCTCTCGTCGACATGCTTCGGTAAAACTACACTAGCCTGTCTTCTTTTAGAGGCAGAGGGCAAAAAAGATCACTTTCTCACCCGGCCGTGACGAAAACGACCACGTGGTAGGCCACTGCCATAACGAAGGCGGGATAGACAAGAACGGAGCCCGGTGGACGCACGCTCTTTGTTGTCTTTTCTTCCTTTACCATGGACGCCGCCACTCAGAGTTGCCGTAGTTTTTTGAGGGGCCTATTGTTAAAATTGTTGCGGTCCCTGCCGCATTTCGCTTCCCATCCCGCGCTTCTTTAAAACCGTTCGAGTTTACACTTTGTACTTTGGGAACCCCACAGCTCGAACTGACACCACACTCAACCGAGCAGTAGCGTTGGCGGGATAATTGCTGGAGCTTACGACGGCTTTTATTCAACACAATAAAAACCTTCAGCATTCGGTATCACTTTATGGCTACTATTCGGTCACAATTTAACTGCGTGCAGCGTAAATTGTCAGTGAGCCAGCAGAATGGAATTAATAAACATTTTCTGAAAACTTAGCTACCCCCGCGTACGCTGCCAATCGAGCCATCATTGCGACAGCAAACTGGAAAGCTTTCTTGCAGGTGCGTAGTTGTTAGAGCTGCTATTACATCTCATGACACATCCATTCACCAGCGGCATTAGACATCATCGCTTGCAACCTGACACCACTTATGGGTCGGCTTTCACGCGAGTCGCCTTCGTTCGCTTCCGCAACGGGAGGACTCCTGCTCAATGCAAGTGTCCTGCATATTACTATGGTCCAAAATAATGAATCTGCTTGAGAACCTTCAGGACTTCTTGTCATCAACCCTACTGAACAGTCTCTCACCGTGGAGTAAAATGCGACAGATATCCGCAGCAATAATTGATGTATGAGGAAAATCTATGAGCATTTGTTTGCGGATAAAAGGCTACTCAGCAATACAACAGATGCTATCAAACGTGCTGACGAAATATGAAGAATTTAATACCTAAGAGGGATTCACACATATATATATTAAGACAGCCACTGTCGAAGCGTGAATAATGCTAATGCAGCACTTTGGCCATGCGTAAAACTGAGCTGTTCAGAATGCAGAATTTTATTCAACGTGCAAACGATATAGAGACGTGCTTTCTGCTGTCCACTGCCTTTCCAAAAAGAGACTTCGTGACTGTTCGTTGGCACAATTCCGGAGATCAGATCAGGTGTCCTGATATTAAAATCAGTGCGATTTTTTTTTCAAGGCTTACTTGCAAGGTATGGCCAGACGATGGATCGTCGCACGCCGCCAGAGCGAAGAGCAATACACGCACAGATTCTAGAATGGAATATTATTATCTGCTTCATTTGGCAGTGTCAGTATGAAAGCTTTTTTGTTTTTCGATAACTTTAATAAATATCTGTGAATCTCTAAGAGATTTCTTATTTGTGGATGTGTATGGGTTCTCGCATTTGTGACACAGTGTTAGCACAGGAAGAACGCCTCTACATAAATGTTTCCGCACGCTTTCAAACAGGAAGGTTTTGGTTCTCCCTGAAAAGAGATTCGCATCTTCTCAGACTTCTGGTGCACTTCATTTTTCATATAAAGTCAGGTATCCACCAGCCATTACACTATTGCTTGCCAGATTTCACACGGTGGGAATAGCAATTTTCTGAAGCTGTGCACAACTAAAAATTTATTTAAAAATTAATCGATGTGTTGTGTGCAGGCAATAATACCTTTGAATGCGCATGTCTGAAAGTTTTTTTTTAGTGTGAGACACAGCCCATACTATTGATATACTCCTGTGTGGGTTGCTCATAAACGCAGAAATAAGGTTGCTTGATGTACTTCGACACAAGTCTTGCGTGTCGCGTACAGGATAACGATTTATCGTTAAGAATTTGATGGCACGTAACCGCACCTTGAGTAAACTTTTGAGCTGGTTCAGGTGTTGTAAGATACTGAAATTTTATTGAAGAGCGCTAGTTGGATATGCTGTCCGGGTGAAATACATGCTTGACATTTCCATCGAAGCTATTAGTACGGTGTCAATTCGTTTTGCCTTATAATTATTACCATCTTATTTCATTCACTCAAGGATAATGGGGAGAAACAGAAAAAAAGCAAAAAAGGTGCAATTTAACTCGTTCAGTTTTTCGGAACATTAACATACCAAACCACATATCTGCGCAAACTACTCAAAATAAACCGTTCATAGTGCATGTGAAACAGCACATAAGGACACACAATAAAGCAATGATAACATCTTTCCCAAGGAATGCAGCCTACAATAGTCGATATAGTCTGTTATATTTTTAATGCAGAATGCTTCAGGTATATTTGTGGATGTTTGATTAGAATTTCCGAACTATATGGTGGTGTTAATACATTCCTTGCGTACCGCTGCTCATTGCAATGCAGCTCTAAAAGAGGGTCATGGTGGCCTTTTACCCTACATATACGCTCCATAACCTCGTGTTAAACACATCCGTCTACCCCATATACACTTGGCCACACGTCGTAGCAACATTATGCACTATTTTCGCGAAAAAATGTCTACGTTAAAAGCCCACCTGAACACACAAGTAGCACTGCACTGCTAGAAGTGCGCATGTACAGCATCTTTTATCAGCACAAATTCAGACACCGTAGTAAAACATAGAGGGAAGTAGTGGAAGCCTTCTGCCCTGAAAGCTAAAAAGAAATGTGCTCTAGCCAGCCTTCTGTAGCAATGCTTGAGAAATAAATGTGTTTCTTGTAATCATTGCTTAGAGCCATGCTGACTCGCAGTACCGCTTCAGTATTCTTGTATCGTAATTTGTACTGATCAATACTGAGCAGTTTAGCACGGATTTTCGAAAGCCACACTTCGCGTGCCCAAGGAGCAGTGCCGCAACACGGCGCACAGATGATGCGGCGCAGAAGAAGTGCAACTAGAGGGCTGGCACTTGACTGATGTGAGCTCACTCGCTAGTCGATTCGTTCGTGCGTTCATCTATCGGTCCGTCCGTTGCTCACGCTACGTATATCCTCGCCTAGCCGACCTAAGCCACGGCTAACATCTTGATGAGAAATTCGGTATAGGAGGCGACCTCTAGTTAATACTAACTGGCACGTGCATATGCCCATATGTCCATGGTGATAACTGAGCGTTGCGCAGAATACTGCTTATAATGTTTGCCGCTGTTCGGCTTTTATTTGACGCCGATAGCACATAGACAATAACGGGCTTCTATGTTGGTTTTAATGTATAGTTATTATACTACACATAGCTTTTCATATTCTGAGATTACTTGGTCCCGTTCAGAGACTATACGGCTCCTCACATACATCTTCTTTGTGCTGCATTAAAGTGTGGGATTGTGCGAGTCATGAGTAAGGCCTGACGGAAGCCTAACTAAACGTGTGCTGAACAGTACACAATTTTTTTATTTGCCATCATTTCGTGACAAGGAATGCTCATATTGCCAAGATATTCATCATGTGTACAGTAGCCACCGTAAAAATAGGTAGCTTACATGACATATACCAAAACAAGAAAAATCGAATCATACATTTGCGAAGAAAGCTAAATAATATAAACAGTAATCAGTAGCTTGGAGCTCCGATTTGCGTCGCTAATAGTGTTGTGGAGATCAGAAGTGTCAGCGTTTCAAATAATTTCACAAAGCGGCGATGTCAAGCTGCCAAAAACTTTTGCTACCAGAAATCACACTTATGTGCTGGGTTCATGAGGGTCCCCTGAGAGCACTTGAACGAGGCCGCGAACTCAGGCATGTTCATGAGCGGCACAATGCACCGCGAACTCGCCGGAGCATACCGCTCTGCAACCACGCGTTGATCCTCACACAACTTGACGCAGTGGCTGATGAAAAATAGGCGCTCGGCTGTCATGTCCACGCCGGGCAGCTGCATCAAACGCTCGTCGGCTGGCAATAAATTGTAGGCCTTGTGCGCAACCCTGACGCCCACAAAGTCCGCCAATTGTTCCGAATCGATTACGTCGTCCACTATATCTTGCCGGGCCATCAGCTTTTCCTGCAAATGATTTGAATCGGGTATATACCAGTGAAAACTTCGCCACCCCAGTTTTTTTTCTGTTTCTCTGCGGCCAGCATCAAATCGTGGCTCCTTGGCGCCCTAAACCTACTCCAGGAGCGAACACACCGCGAGAACTCAGAATGTTCTTCAAGAAGTATGAAATAACTGAAATAATGTGCTGCGTGTTTCATTGGATAAGCTATATTTAGAGAGTTAACAATGTTGTTTTCTAATAGAAATAAAGGCAGGGGAATGGTGCTGGGAAAGCACCCGCAGACATGCATGACGCTATCGCTCAAGGAGATTGTCTGCTCCTTGAGCGATAGCATCATGGAGGCAAACATGGAGCAATAACAATAGTGCGAATAGCCTTTGTGTGCCGTAGCTATACCGACGACCAATGTGAATCGGCACTCTAGTCCTTTGAAGCTAACCACTCTAGCACTCGCCAGTAACTGCAACATCAGTAGGAACGAAGCACAATTTTTTCGTTCATGGAACTTATTCAAAATTCAGCCAGCTCAAAGGGCGGTATTGGGAGGTGCGTCAAAGACAACACAAACACAGTGGTGTTCACACGTCTCTTCTAGTTGTACATATTCTTTGAGCGCTGTAATACGACGCTGACGCTTCTCAACTGTGAATTCCCTTACGAGTCACTCTCTGATAGATCTCTGATAGCTATTTCATTGCATGCTGAAACATATTTTTATCGATTTGTGTAATATAATATCATAAGCCACAACTTTCGTTTAGCCCACATTGTTGTCGTGTATTTACATGATATGAGACATTAAATGTCTATTCCCTATATTTGAATCCAGCGCTATACATATAGCACAAGTACGGCTGCGTATGCTAGTACATAGCATTACGAGATCAATACGTTATATACAGCTATATATGTCTGCATTGTTGCTATTTACGCAGGTGTATTCACTTACATTTTATATAAAGAACCCAGAAGTATGCTATTTGATTGAGGAAGGTTAACAAGTCTGCGCTGCTCTCGGATAAAAGAAAAATGCAGTGGTGACATCAACATTGCTCAAAATGGAACCATGGCGGTGAATGGCTATTTTCCCCGTTTACCCGTCATTTTTCCTGTTAATTTTCAGTGAATGTTCCAGCAGGTGGGTGAACATGCTTCAGTAGGAGTTGATGGTGTGTCCGCTTTCGACCGCCATATAGAGACAGTTGTCTCTATGAATTAGGGAAAGGACGCGCAGAAGTATGGTTAAGTTAGAAATTTTAAGTTCGTTTATTCAGTGAATATACAACTAGCAATGCGTTTTGTGAGGTGACATTGATACAAAATTGCCGTGAAAGCTTAGTACATGCGTTGCGCTGGAAGTGTCGTCGAAGATTCATGCACGTTAATTTGAATATAGGAACTCACATTGTTTTCGAGTCCTCATCGAGAAGTTGCCTAATTGAGATTGATGCCATTTCGTGCATTATGTTGTATAATATTTGTAGGCACCGTCTTAATACGCAGGACTATTATGGGATGCTTACAGAAAGAAAGCTGGTCACTGTAATACTTCCAAGAATTCGTTTTATAAAAATAACGTACTGACGCGAAAGTGACACATCGGCGCGTAATATAGCATTTCAAAAGTATACATGTACTTACTACCGATTTATATGATCGCCGCACGCAGATTGTCCTGTTGGTGAACGCCACCGCGAATTCCTCCGTACCCCAGGGATCGAAGGCACCATTTTCGTCATAATAGGAGCCGTCAGCGTCGTAGCCGTGCATTATTTCGTGCGCCATTATCTGACAATGAAAAATTAAATGAAAATCAATGCAATAAAGTGACAGCCATGTAGTGAACGATAAAGTTTGATGAAAAAAGCGTATTTTCAAAAGTCTTAAATTAAACCTATGCCTCCGAAGTGTGTGCATTGGGAAAGGGGGAACGCCTCGTGGATGGCTGTGGTCCCTATAGGCTGCTAAGGAGGCAGAGTAAATTGTGGCCCATTCATATACTTAGTAGTGGGGGGGGGGATGGCATGTATGACCACTTTTTCCCCGATGAGCAACCCTGCACAAGCTTGTGTAAGCGACCATAATTCAAAGTGGTTTGCAGTCATTTCTGGAATTATTTTGGACCGCTGAAGTGTTTAATTGTAATGTATTACGTATCGCAAAGCGTATTAAGTGTCTTCCGGAATGGTGGCGCTAGCACTCGGCCTCTTCCTTCGCAAACAACCAGTGTGGCCTATACGTTTAAGCACAAAAAGTCGTGCAATAAAAATCTCTGTTAAGGAAAGTAAAAGTAAACCGCAGTAGCCGCCCCCACCTCCCCGCCCCGCCACGGTGGTCTAGTGGCTAAGATATTCGGCTGCTGAACCACACGTCGCGGGATCGAATACCAGCTGTGGCAGCTGCATTTCCGATGGAGGCGGAAATGTTGTAGGCCCATGTGCTCAGATTTGGGTGCACGTTAAAGAACCTCAGGTAGTCGAAATTTCCGGAGCCCTTCACTACAGCGTCACTCATAATCATATCGTGGTTTTGGTATGTCAAACCTCACTTATCAATAAATCAGTATCCCCCACTCTACCTGAAGTTCTTTTTGTTTTGCGGAATTCAATACAAAAAGTGCAGTTTGAAATTAACACAGCGTCACACGGTATCCACAGAAGACAATTAGGAGGTGAAATCTTTCAGACAATAGCCTTCCATTCGTCGCCAGCTTTGCGGTGCACACTCGTAATGTAAAATGTTTTTGACCCCACTCCTTGGCTATGGTTGTAGTAAAACGGCGTTGCTCTAACCCAGCACATTAGCTTATGACGGGACGGGTCCGACTGCGTAATATTATTGTTGTATTTTGGTCTGTTTGGTTTTGGTTCCACGATCCCTGCCGCAGGTGGTGCCAGTGTTGTTTATGTATATAAGCATGCGCAAGTTGGAATAAAGGGGCTTTCGTTCCGATGGGCACTCAAGTTGTCTAGTCGTTCATTGACCGGCGGCACACGCCGCCACTACATTGGCGACGAGGGTGCTCGTTTAGGAGGGGTGTGATTTTCGTCATTTTCGCCGACTGTTTCCCGCGCCATGAGTTTTTCCGGACTGGCACCACCGCCCCCGTTCCTGGCCATGCCTTGCTGCCCTGCTATTGCCTGGCCGCAATGGATCCGCGATTCGAGACTTTTCTGCTCGCATCTGGTGTTTCGGACTGTGCATCGGACCGTCGCAAGGATCTCCTAATCCACAGCCTCGGCGTAGAAGGTCAGCGCATATTTCACACACTACCGCTTCAATCTTCGGCCGACGCAAAGTCCGGTGAGCCAACTACTGATACGCATTCGGAAGATGTCAAGGACAGTTCTCAGATACAGCATGAAGCGTCATCGTACGATAACACTGTTGCAGCACTGCATGCGCACTTCACGACAACAACAAATGTTGTAGTCGATCGGCACCGGTTCGGTAGGCGCGTGCAGCAAGTTGGTGAAGCAACCAATGAGTACATTACCGCGTTACGTGAGCTTTCTGCTACGTGCTCTTTTCCTTCTCTGGAAGATTCCTTGCGTGACCAGTTCGTTTCAGGGCATATTATCTCGGAACTTGTGCGAGCGGTTGCTGCTTCAAGGGCCTTCTCTTTCGTTCGCTCGAGCTGTACTAATAGCGACGCAGTTTGAGCAGGCAACCAATGATTGCAAAGAATTTGCTACTGCAGATGTCCAGAGCATAAATGCTCGCGAAAACACCCCTCCGCCCGCATCTTCTGCCAGCGACCCCTCGAAGCGGTCACGCAGCCAACAGGGCCAAAGTTACCGCTGCGGTTCACCTCGGCACAACGCATCTTCATTCCGCTGCCCCGCCAAAAACAAGCGGTGTCGTGGTTGCGGTATTATGGGTCATTTTCGCTCGGTCTGCAACAGAAACGCCGCTCCTGTTCGTGAACTAGACGACGAAAGTTCAATAACTGAAGAAGTATTGAGCATTCTTGCCGTGACGACATCCACTCGTCCTGCAATCTACGTATCGGTAGTAGTTGGTGAAACGAAGTTAACTTTCCTCATGGATTCCTGGTCATCAGTATCAATTTTGACGCATGAACTATTAGGCAGCATTTTGAAGGTCAGCAGCTTTCAGCTGCTCGAATTAGGCTACTGAACTATTCGAAGAAACCCATTCCAGTGTGCGGTTGGTTCTTTGCTGATGTCACGTACAATAACTGAAAACAAAGCTTCTTTGTTATGTCGTTGAACAAGGAACCTCGCTTTTGGGTATTGATGCAATTAGGGCGCTCAGTCGGCAGATTGATAAGTCTTCACTACAGTGCCTTAAAACGACAGCGGTGCGTACTAGCGCTCGAACGGAGCACACCACAGTGAAGATAGGGATGGAGGAGTCCATTCCCCTTCCATCAGAATTAGTCGAAAAGTTTGGTGCTATTTTCAATCCAGAACTTGGCATCGCAAAGAGTTTTGTTCATCGCGTCAAAACACTGTCGACAGTTCAGCCAGTTACTTCAAAACTCAGGCGCTTTCCGCTCTCAGTGTGGTTAGGAGTCTCGGAAGAACTGCGCCACTAGAAAAAAATGGACCTGATAAAGGAAATAGAGGCATGCGAGTGGGTGTCCGTCATTGTTGTGGCTGAAAAGAAAGATGGAGGTATCCGCCTTGTGTAGATCTTCGACAGGTAAACAAAGCCGTCGTAGCAGATAGCTTTGCCATCCCTCATATAGAAGAGCTATTGCATAGTTAAGTAGGGGCAACCCACGTTTCCAAGCTTGACCTTGCATCAGCGTACCATCAAGTCATGCTTCACCCCGAGAGCCGTGATTTAACGACTTTTATAACACACGACGGCCTTTTTCGTTTTAAGCACGTGTGTTTTGGGCTCGCGTTGCACCATCTGCTTTTCAGAGTATGATGTTGAAAATTCTGCAGGGCTGCAGCGGCGTCCTGTTCTATATCAATGACATCATTGTTTTTGGGAAGGGCAGAGAGGAGCACATGGCGAGTCTTACCACAGTTCTGAGGTGCATAAAAGAGGCAGGACTCAAATTGAACACGAAATGTGTCATCGATACGCTGGAGCTTGCGTTCTTGGGCCACAGGATCACCGCAAACGGTATTGTGCAGTTGAAGGAAAAGGTTGCTTCCATCCGAGACACTCCAGCGCCTACGGATCCAGCCAGCCTTCGATTATTTTTGGGATTGGTCGAATAATATTCTAGGTTTATTCCCAATTTCACTGACATGGTTAAACCAATGCGTGTCCTGCGAAGAAAGGGGCAGCGATTCGTTTGGTCTGACAAGATAGACGCTAGTTTCAGAAAGACCAAAGACGCGCTGGCATCTAGCTCTATACTAAGGATGTTCGGTGAATCGCTTCCAGTCTTAGTGTCGACGGACGCATCAGAGTGTGAAGTTGGAGTGGTCCTAGTGCAGGTGGACGGACATATACTGCACACTCTCGCTTTCGCGTCTCGAGTCCTTTCGCCAGCTGAGAGGAAATATTCGGTAGGAGAACGGGAAGCGTTCGCCTGTGTTTGGGCGTGCGAGTGGTGGCACGTGTACTTGTGGGGACGCCTACTTCACGTTGCTCACTGATCATCAAGCCTTGGTGGCGTTGCTTTCAACCCAAGGAACAGGAAGGCGCCCCTTGCGGGTAGCGCGATGGAGAGAGCGTCTACTACGGTACAACTATACCATCAAGTACCGCAAGGGGTCGCAAAACCAAGTGGCGGACGCACTCTCACGCCTGCCCGCGTCTTCTTTCCAGGAAGAAGAAACGCTGTTTGACGAGGTTGTATCGGTTCTCGAAATTCCTTCCTGCATTACCAGAGAACAGTTTGAGCAGTCCCAATTGCAAAATAGGGCACTGCAACAAAGCGAAATCTATGTGCAATCGTCGTGACCTGCACACAAATGATTATCGGCCGAGCTTCAGCCATTATTGAAAGTACGCGACGAACTTTCTGTGGAAGACAATCTTATCTTGCGTGGCGAACGGCTTGTGGTTCCCACGTCACTCAAGCAGCAGGTAATCGCTGCAGCACATGAGTCGTATCCTGGAGTGGTGCGAACAAAAGCGCGGCTGCGAGAAAAGCATTGGTGGCCGGGCATGGACCGCCAAGTCGAGCTAGCTATCCAGATGTGTAGCATGTGCCAGGAAGCAGACAAGAGCGTCAAGGTGCGAGCTACACCTTTGCAACCGGTCCCCTTTCCAAAGCAGCCGTGGCTCAATCTCGGCATGGATATTGTAGGCCCATTTTAGAGTGCGCGCTACGATAGCAGATACGCAATAATGCATTGTAGATATTATTCCAAATGGCCCGAAGTGCATTTCTGTAGCGAGACGACAGCCAGCACAGTAATACGCTTCATTAGTCACTGTGTTCGCGCGCGAAGGCTACCCAGAAGAGAATATTTGTGCTAATGGTCCACAGTTTGCTTCTCGGGAGTTGGAGGCATTTCTTCAAGATCGCGGCATCCAGGTCAAACATTCGTCTGTATACTATCCACAAGCGAATGGCTAAGTGGAGCGCTTTAAAAGATGATTAAAAGGCTTCATTCAGGTGGCGGTTCTCGAGCAGCGTACCCTTGCACCAGGCATAACAGAGTACCTGGGTGTTTACCGATGCACACCACATGCTTCAACGGCAAAGGCTCCAGCTCTTCTGCTACACGGGTGGCTGCCAAGAACCGGTTGGATGCCGTCGAGCATCCGTCGGTAACCTTCTTTGATGACCCTAACTTGGAACTCCGGCGCTTACGTGAGCGGGTAAAGCAAAAGCA